ATCAAAACATGTTTAATAAATGTATTAATACTTTCTTCTGTACTACAACATATTTTTCAAAAATTTTTTTCTTAGACTACAAAACTTTTCTACTCTGTGCTTCTAATTAAGATAGGGACTATTATTTAGAGTTTTATGGTGTGAAATTAGACCAGCGATTTTCTAATATCCATAAAGTAAATTTAAAAATCTTTCTCCTTTGAAAGATAGATAATTCAGTCACAGGGAGCTTATTTCTATGTTTCCTTTGTTTTCTTTTTTTCAAAGTTGCTTGGTAAGCCAATTTTCTACTTAAAGTCTACTGTTAAGACTCTCATATGGTTAAGTATGTAGGCTTTATCCTTTCCATGGTCTGTTATGCAAAAAAGATGGCTTTAATTTTTTTTTTTTTTTTTTTTAGTTTGCTGTAAAGCAGTAGGTCTGGACTTGGATGCACATAAGAATCATCTAAGGAACCCATAAAAGATTACTGCTGCCTCCTCCTCCTGCAGATATTCTGATGAAGCTGGTTTGGGTGGGTCCCTTTTTAAAAGCTCTGCAGGTGACTGTAATGTGTTGCCAGGCTAGGAACTATTCCTCTAGGATCCTGCCACTGTCTAAATAAAATTTTATTATCCTTTCGTGATCGAACCAGGGTGGGCAATGTTTTTTAAAAATTCTATAGCTTAATAGATCCAAGGATTACATTTCTTTTTTATGAGGCAGCTATTTTTTAACTTTGAATTTTTTGAGTTTAAGGGCATTTTTATTCTCATCAGTTCAAGAAGTTCATGAAGTCCCTAGCTGTTAGAGAAAAAATGTTAAAGGGATGTGCCTTAATACTACTTTCATAGACCTGTAGTTTTAGTTAATGATACTCTAGAAAATTTGCTATACTTCATAATGATTATGTATACATACACAAAAAGAATATTAGTTCACTAGAAACTTCTTCCAAAAGACATTACCTTTTCACATACTGAGATTTACATGAGGATCTAAAAAATAAACTTTTTCTTTAAAAATACACTTAATGGGACCAACGCTGTGGCACTGTAGGTTAAGTCTCCACCTGCAGTGCCAGCAGCCCATATGGGCACTGGCTCACGTCCCAGCTGCTCCTCTTCCAATCCAGCTCTCTGCTAACGGCCTGGGAAGTCAGTAGACGATGGCTCAAGTGCTTGGACTCCTGCACCAGCATGGAAGACCCGGAAGAAACTCCTAGCTCCTGGCTTCAGGCAGGCCCCAACAGTTGTGGCTTTTTGGAGAGTGAACCAGCAGATGGAAGGCCTCTCTCTGCTCCTCCCTCCTTTTTATATAACTCTCCCTCTCAAATAAAAATAAATAAATCTTTTTTAAAAATACACTTCTTTTATTGTTTTTGCTTCTTTTATCTTCATTTTGGTCAACACATAATAAATAATTGCATGTATTTATGGGGTCCAGTGTGATGTTTGAATTCATGTATACATTATGGTCATTATCATATCTATTACCTTAAACTTTTACCATTTGTTTGTGGTAAAAACATGCAAAACCCTTTCTTCTAGATAGTTTGAAGAATATATGCATTATTGTTAACTATGGTCACCATACGATGTAGTAGAACATCAGCACATATTGCTTTCATCTAATTTTAACTTTTTATCCTTACCTAACCTGTCTCTATCCCTCTCCTCTGCCCTCTAATCTCTCTAATTTCTGGTAACCCTCATTCTAGTCTCAGCTTCTATGTGTTAAATTTTATTAGAGTCTGTATATGAGATTATGCTGTATGTGTTTTTCTGTTCCTGGCTTATTTCATTTAACACAATGCCTTTCTAGTAGCTGAATATTATTCCTTATCTCATGTTCATGGATTAGAAAAGATTAGAAAAATTAATACTATTAAAATGTCCACAATACCCAGAATGATCTACAGATTCAATATAATTCCCTATCAAAAATCCTACACTATTCTTCATAGTATTAGAAAAAAAATAATTCTAAAATTTGTATGAAAATACCAAAGACCTCAAGCAGCAAAAATAAAGTTGGAGGCAGCACAGTACCTGACTTCAAAATATACTACAACACTATAGTAACCAAAACAGCATGGTACACACATAAAAACAGACACATATGCCAATGGAACCAGAATTGACAGCTCAGAAGTAAGTCTACATATTTACAGCTAGCTGACTTTTGACAAAGATGCCAGGAGTATACAATGGGAAAAGGGCAGTAGCTTCAATAAATGGTGCCCACGCAGAAGAGTGAAAACGAAAACTTTACAAATTTTTCCAACACATTAATTTTGAAAGATTAACTGAAAGAGACAAACCCCAAAAACAAAAGTTCTTGTCAAAAAATGAACTGTATATCAGCATATTATAATTTAAGAGACTTAATGCAATCAACAGTGAATGAAAAAATTATGCAAATATCATATACAACTTTTTAAAAATATATTCAAACATAAAGTGGAGGATTTTCTAGAAACATAAATTATAGAACAGTATTAAAGGAAAAACTACAATTCTCAAAATCTAAACAACTCTTTAAAATAAAATCAGAAAATTCTACCTTCCTTGAGAGATATACCACATCCAGACAGCTCTACAGTAAGTTTTACCAAAACTTCAAGTTTCAGATAATTATTTTTGTTACTGTTTCAGGAAGGATTAAAGGGAAAAGCTAGCCAAATCACTTTAGAGGACAAGTACAATCTTTATATCAAACCTAGAAAGGGTAATAAAGAAAGGAAAACTGTGTATCAATCTTATTTGAGCACATAGCAAAGCATGTTTAATCTTTCCTCTTTAATATCTCTTTAAGTAGAATCAATCACTCCTTTTTGGCTCCCATTGTAATTTACATACCCACAGCACCATTCACACCTTGATGCACTTAAATGTTTTCATCTATGTCTCTCACTGATAAATACTAATATCCTTATAGGAATCAACACGTTTCTTATTCATATTCCCTAGAATGAAATACAGTGCTTATACTATGGTCATGCTCAACAGCCACTGAGTGACATGGCTATTTCAGTTAGAAATACCATTAATGTGCAAATTCAGGAAGTGGGGAAAAAAATAAGGCAGCTAGCAAATTCATTTTGCTAGGTTTACATGACTTTAAGGAACTAACATAGGAAAGGCAGGTTAAGGCCAATTAACAAGGAGTTTTTAGTGATGAGACAGAGTTTAGTTTTAGGATATACTGAAGATATTTGAGCAGTCAATGGAAAATGAGATCCATGCTTCAGAATCCAGATAAGCAGTGTTTTGAGCTATCGGGGACCTGGAGCTGAACTAGCTGGTTTAAATCTATCCTTTTAAAAATAAGAAAATTAAAGCCATACAGGTTAAGTGTTCTACCCAAAGCCACACAACACAGAATTACCTAGAAACAGGCAGAAGCTTAAGGGGAGTAAACTAAAGGTTACACAGTTAGTATATGGCCTAAACAACAGGCAATTCCAGGTTTGTTCAATTGCAAAGTCCATGATCTAGATGACACAGGGCACTAAGGCAGTAGACCATATGTGTACCCTTTCAGGACAATTCTAATTTCATATTAAAGCACTCATTTCAAATCAATATAACTGGAAAAACATAAACCTACAAGCTAACTTATTTTTACTTTTATTATAATGTTGAAAAAATAACAGAATTCTAGTAAGTTTAATTATATTGAGTCATTCTGATGAAGTGTCTTACTCAATAAACTTCTACACCTCAGATCAATAAAATGGTAGACATGAATATGGAGTGAACAGGTACAGAGCACACCCTTAGCCTCACAAGATCTACAGCTAAAGCACTAAAATTATCTTATCTTACTCAGAGTAACAGAACTGGAAAATTTCTAAAACAAAAGAAACTAAAAAATCTATAGGAAATTGATGAGGATTCCAAAGGAAAATATATAAACATACATACATGTCAAAAATATTAGGACTCTTCAGTCTTAAAAGACAACATGAAAATTTATAAAATCAGAAGTCATAGGTAAGGATATAGAAAATTTAGACCTCTTAATTTCATTTCACAATACTAATTCTGGAAAATATTCCTTGAGGTATAATGGATAATAGATTTAGGGGAAAATATAGGAACATACTACTTTACCCAGGTAAAACTTAAAGTGGGTAGGAGAGAGCTTTCTTTTTAGAGTGCTAAAACAGAAAGGGAATTTTATACTCAAAGCACTGGTATAAACTAAAAATACATACAGTTTAACATATGAATGAAAGATCAAATTATTGCCAGGAATAGACAGAATGAGGTTTTTTATCCTTAATTCATAGATTAACCCTTTTGGTGCTCCTATCAGAGACAGGATACTGGACTGAGCAGTCCATCTCTACAGCCATGCTTATATAGTCTTTATATGCTTATACTCATATCTTTATCTATCTATAGATATAAGCTTTAATCTTAATCACTAAAAACTGGAAGCACATTCTTGCCCTAATGATAGTCTGGCACCACATGTCTTGCACAAAACAGGCATTTGACTAATGTTTGTTAAGTAATTGAGTGGAATTTGAAGAAGGTAATTAGTTAGACAGCTTTTAAAAGCATGAAATCATGAGCAAATATTAGTACTAATAATAATCAAAATAGTGAACAGTGAATCAGAGTTTATTTTATGAAGGTATTGCTTGACATACATATACTGACTCATTTGTCTTCATTAACTCTATTTTTTCAAAAAATGAAACTGTAGAACACAGAGGTTAGTAACCTGCTCAAGGACAGAGAATTAGAGAATGGCACGGTTAAGTTTTGAAACTGGAAGCCTGTGTTCTTAATCACTACATGACTCGAGATAGCAGTGGAATTTGTCCAGGTACCCTACAGACATGACACATTTTAGGATCTCATTTCATCTTCAATTTTCCTTTTTTGAACATTTGAAAAAAATGTTATAAGTTTAAAAAGCATTCATATTTATTTCAGAACAGAAAAGCCAATAATCCTGTTTTATCTGCACTTCATTTAAAATATATGTATTTATTTCATATTTACCTCAAGTCTTCCTTGAGCATAGCCCAGGAGCAGCAGATTGACTCTGTCCTTCTCAGAAGAAATGGGGGCCCAAGGCCAAGCATCATCGTTGACTAGTGGCCACCAGCAAACAAATATATCCTGAACACAATTGATAGCTAGATGACGTTCTGTTTTCCTGTTTACTGGGCCAGGTATTTCATAATAGGAAATCTAATAGTTAAAAAAAAGAAACAATTTTCAAAAGGTGCAAGATTCCCAAAGTATTCCAAAAATGAAGCATCAGTAAATATAGATACATGCAAGTAAATATGCATGCTAAACGTGCTTATGAAAGTCTCAGAATTTACCAAATTCTTTTGACACATATATAAAAAAGACATATGTTCAAATTCTCCCCATTTTTAGCAGAGGAGAGGAAAAGAAGAAATCTAAGTTAGGGAGGAATTGGATGCAGAAATTCCAATCAATACCAAAATGTACAGTCATGGTTGCTTGACAGCATCGACCTACACATAGGATTTAGGACCAGCTGTATTAAATGACAAGTTCAGTACTGCTGACCAAGAGTGTCTGACTGCTGTTTAAGATGTAACACGTTAACAATGACTGACAACAATAAAAGGAAAAAACAACTTGAAGCAAATATCTCTTTAAAGAATATATGAGACATATACACATATATTCTGCATAAAAGGGATAAGCCATAGCATCATGCGTAAAAGTTTATGCAGCTTCTGAGAATTCTGCTTCTCTTTCTTAGAAAGGATTTGTAGAATTTATTATTCAAACTATGTTATTTTGGAACATGGTTATTTGAAAACATAAGCACGGCACCATCTGGGTGACACATGCCAAGGAAATATAGATTGCACCGTATTTCTGCTTAAGGAATTAATGGAAGGTTGATAGCTTGGAAGAAAAAAAAAACTATCTTGCCATTGCTGGTCAGCAATAATCGAACCACTTTCTGGGGATTAAGCGCATGGCTAAGCCTACTGGACCAGACACTAGCAAAGGGCAGGGGGTCTTCTTATCAGAGAAATGCTTCTGGAGCCAGTCTCACTACATGACAGATTGCTTTCATATTCCTGTCTGCAAGGCAACAAAGGATGGCAGTAATGCGATAATGCCAGAGTGCAATGGGTGTTAAGAACCCGTTGCATTTATGTATTGTATTTAGTAAATAATCAGGCTCATCCAAATTGTGATCTCACCACTCAACCAAGGCCATTAAAATCAAGGTTAATGCTTTAATAATCCTCTGCTATTTTTTTGCAATATGGTCAAAAGAAACCTTTTTCTATTTGCATGGCCATAATATTATTGACCTCTTCATCCTCTGAATGCACATCAAAAGGAACTGAAATCAAAGTAATTACCAGTGTTGTTCTCTCATGGTAAACATTTAACTCCTTGCACTGTCCCTTCACTGGTAAATAAATTGAATTGGATTTTTAAACTATAGGCAGGGAAACTTGTTAAAGGTCAACAGTTTCAGGATATTTACTCTGAAAATTTCTTTGCCACAATTATTTCAGTCTGAAATAATTAAATTATGGCACAGCTGTAAAGAAAAGCCAAATATAACACACTCGACATGACTTCCTGTTTTAAAACCCAAGTGGGCAATGACAGACAACACAGATGTACTTTATGCTTTCAAGTGAAAATTCTTATTTTTAAGCATTGCATATCATTAATTACTTAAGAGAAATATAATGGAATTGCTATGTACTTAAAAATAAACTACATTATTTTGATGTCCAACTTGCTATGTAAGCATGTTAGAATTTTCTAGATAAGAAAACATAATTAAATGAGTGGCTGGTATTTTCAGTTCTTACATGATGCAAATCACTTATGTTTTTTGAAATTTCTTATTTCCTAGGAATTTTAATAATATCATTATTCTATTATGATAAATAAGAAAGTAAAATAAATAAGAATTTTAAATAACCTTCCAATGGACAAATGACAGTTCTGATTAAGCATTAATAACCTCTATTTTAAATATTGAACCAGAAAATGAAATTCATGGACTTTCCAAAGGGAAACAGACATGATCTTCCTAATTCCTCTAATCCAAAGGCAGAAACAGTGAGCAATTCTCTTATTTAAGGTATGAAGGACCCAAGCACTAGCTGTTTTCCACATCTTTTCACAAAAGAAATTGACATTCAGTTTCTTTTGGTTCTTATTAACAGGTAGCTACTACTGTTCAGTTGGTAAGACTTCACCATGCTACCCTAAAATGAAGAAATTAGTCATATAATATTTTATTCAAGAGCAATAATGGTACTTAGTTTAAATAGTGTGAGTTAATGCATACTAGTGCACTTTAAAGGAAAATACTATCAAATAAAAAATATTTCAAATACATCTACAGTTAGCCATTCTGGAAAATGACATCCCTTTAAGAATGCTAATATCATTTTTTTTTGACTAATTAAATTTGATATATGACTACAGCTACTTTGAAGTCAAAGAAAATCAGTATTATACAAAGCTTCTAGAAGCTTCACAATGCTGGTAAACAAACTCTGATTGTAATATATTACCACAATGAAAGCCTTACTTGATATGTTTTATTCCATTTAAAAAATCCTATTTATAATAATAGATGTTTCTACTAAATAAAGCTAAATTCTTTCAAAACCATGATCACTTTTCAATAATACATTAATAATACCAAAAGATTAGGTTAAATACTACTTTTCAAAAAAACCACCAATTTCAAACTACAAAACTCTCTGCCCTTGCCATTGATACTACAGGTATGGCTTAAGTATGCATCTTTTTTAAGGAAGCTGTATATCAGCTCTGTTCCCAGTGAACAGTGAACTGTCTCAAATCCACGTCACAGAGGCTGGATCAATCTTGCAAACACAAGTCATTGCTGAAAAGAGGCCTTGAACTGAAACAGCCTGGAAAATGTATTAGATACTCATCCTAGCAAAAAGTATGCCTTTCCAGCAGTTAAAATATAATGTGGGAAAACTTAAACACATCATTTAAAATAAAAATCCTGACTTAACAGATGTAAGATCCCTGATAAAAGAAAACAAGTTACCTGGAGTTAGTGAAGGGAAAGATACTAATATATGAAGGAGATTTCCTTTTGCATTTTCTCCAGTTATGTTTGGGGATAACTGATGGCTGGGTTCTTCCCAATTCTTGTTTATTATAAGACACTTACAAAGTTTAATAGAAAAGTATATCTTCTTTTGTTTTTTGTGAGGTAGTAAACAGAGAAGCTACATGGAGTCTTAGGAAAAATGAGAATGGTGTATAAACTACCACCAGCAAGAAAATCCCTATCCAAAGTGTAACTTGCCTCTGCTAACCTTTGACGTCCATAACCATTATCATGTGCCATTGTTACACCATGCCTCAATAGTAAGTAAAAAGACAAACTTATGAGAGGCACTCTTGGGTGAGTCAAACTTAACTCTATAACAATTCTGTTTTTTCTAAAATCCAGAAGTATTCAAGAATAATGAGCAACTCCTGTGATAACTCTAATATACACTAATAATTAACAATATGACTATATAAGTTAAAATCTCCACCTTATAATCCAGAGCTGAGAGTTTTTCCAGTCTTTTGTTTATATCAGGAGAATCCATCTTCTTGGCAAACTGAATAAAACATAGCTTGTTTTGTGCCAAAAATGATAAGATGATGAAACTGTCTGTGAGAAGAGCTAAAGAAAAAAATTTGATAATATAAAGTCAGAGTCAGATAGGAATATTTTTTCACTGAAATAATTTAAAAAGCTATTAATAAATATTAATTAAAATTGCTAAATTCTCCTAAATATCATTATGACATTTGAAGATATATTAAAGCTAGTAGGAATAAACAATAAATATCTAATCATGCATGGATTTGATAATTTTCCTATTTTCTGTGACTCCTTCAACATACATGGATGTTTGAGGACCATCATCAAATAAGATGTACTTGGAACCCACACTAGAAAATCATAAAAAAAAACTATTTCACACATGAACATAAATTTAGATCAAAAAACATTTACTCTTATTTGTGCTTAGACTTTCATTCTATGTTTATCTTACATAATTCATCTAAGAATAAAGTAAATTTATTAGGGATACCAATCTCATTTTTAAAAATTTGTCTTCAGTGAAATCTTCTTTTGAGGATATACAAGCTGAATGAAATAAACTGTACCACGCCTAATACGCATATTACTTAATGTGCAAGAATAAGAGGTTAGCAAAAATACTTCCATAGTTTCATTTCTAAAGCATAGATAATTAGTAGATAATTAATAAGGTAGATAATTAATAATCATGGTTACATGAGGGATCATATTATATAAAATTGTTGATAAAAACACAATAGGAATTTGAGAAGTGCTTTGTATTGTTCCTAGCATGAAGAAATTACTGAATGTTTTATACATTTTTCTTTATTTCCACACCACACCCCTGGCAGTGCAAGCAGTGACCAACAGTAGATCTACACAATTACAGGAGAATCTGGAGGACTGCCAAGAAATCACATTGTTATCATGATCCCATGAGAGTGTATTATTTTGGGTACAAATAAAAGAAACAAGTGAAAGAAGATAACTCAGAGACACGAATAGTGTTGGAAGTCTTCTTTTAATTCTTATAAAGGAGCATCAATATGACAAAATCATCACAGTCAATATTTCATTTGCAGTGTCAACAAAGGGGTCAACTATTAGGCATACGAAAATGGAACCTCTTCTTTAGGGAAGTTTCCTTAGCACAGTATTCCTGTAAGGAAGGGGAAATGGCATGCTTACAATCCTACCTACCCCCCGGCTTATTATTATCAGTAATGTTGCTAATTATAGCCATCCTGCAGAGTGCTTTTCTTTAAGATTATGCACTTGTATGTGATTTATTCAGAGGTAGCTAGTGAGCGCACAGCAGACTGAGGGTTTCTTTATTCTCACCTCTGTCCTTTCTACTAGACCAACCCTTTATTATTCAGTCTAAGAAACTGACCATTTTTCAATCTTTGATGATAATGTAATTTGGTTTTAGACCTTTGGGCTTTGGGTAAAAGAACAGAACCTTAAAAATTCAGGAATCCGTGCAGAATAGTGGAAAGAAAATGGGTTTTGCAGGCAGAACCTGTGTTCAAATCTCTGCTTAGTTACTGTCTGACTCTATAATGCTGGGCATGTTCCTTAGCAGCTGAGCTCAGCTTCCTTATCTACAAAAATGGAAATAAGAACCCTTGTGAAATGAAAGTTAGGATGGCACCCAGTGCAGAGCCTTTAGAGCTCAATAAATGTCAGTATGCTTCCTTTTCAATAAATGGCTTAAACTCTTTTTCTTATGTACTTTGCACCTAGCATATATTGTTAGTAGTTTCACTTAATAGAATCTGATTTATCCAGTATATTTAGCATTGAGGATTGAAACTTAGAAAACACAGCTCAAAATCTCTGAAAAGTGAGTGTATTCACAGACTTTATTTTTAAAAAAATTTCCTGTAAGAACTGAAACAACGATTTTTGTTTTTACTGGCTGCACTGGTCTATTTGTAACAGAGGACTAATTACGAAAGAATAAAAAACTATTCTATAAATATGTTCACATTCTTTTAAAGAAAGTAAAAAATTCTTAGAATATGAGCCTAATACTTGACAAGAAAATAAAAACTTTGATATTAAACATTAGTTGAAACTTGCATTGGTCCCAAGGGTTGTAAGTATGTTATTACAAGCAATTACTTGTTGTGTTTGCAAGTCCCCAGTGGTAATAATTAGTCTACCTGTTGACACAGTATTTTTCCTGTCCCACTGTTAATGTAGGCAATTGATTTGCACATGGGGGTAATTACCATCACTGATGGTGTCTGAGATGAGCTTCCCCACCAGGCTTCTGTCAATCACCACTTTCTCCAGCTGTGGCCCAGAAAGGCTTAGGGACACCAGCACACCTGAACCAAAGAGGAGCTAAAACCAGGTAAGGGGAAGAAAGGGAGGAAGATAAGCTGAGGATTAGAATCTTTTAAAAAAATCTGTCTCCAAATGTACAATTTATACAGATTATTTACACACACATCTATACTATGAAACTATATAAAGAATTTTGCTTCACTGAAAAACAATCACTGACATTCTGAATAAAATGATAGGTGACTAAATGATGCAATGTAATAAGTTCATTGATTAAAACTATACACAGAAATCTAATTTAATCCACATTCGTCAGAAGTCTAATCTTCTTAAAACTTAAAAAGGACCTGTGCAGAAATAACTGTTGTGTTTTACACTGAAAAAACGTAATGTGTTCTATTAAAATAATTTGAAAGATTACTATTTGTATCAGAAACTAAAAGAATATTTCTTGAGGTTTCAATAGTTATTACTACACATTTTAGAAGAGATGGCAGAGTTAATATTTTGATTTATTTGAAATTTAAACCCAATTTACTTCCAAAAGTAAAGATCTTGTCTAAAATATCAAAATATATGTAAATCAAGGCAATTAAGTGAAATGTTAAGTTTTAAAATCATAAATCACACCATAAATAATTTCACAAGGAAAAATAAACAAATACAGTAACACATACAGGCTTTATCAATATCAACGTACAAGCAACCACCCAACAAAAGATGATTGGATATAACCATTATAATATTATACTCCTCCTTTCCATTTGTGGCAGCATAATTCATTCATCTCCAAATGTTTAAAACTTCTGAAAGGACTATGCATATGTGTATGCTTGTTATCTATAAGATTATGAAATACCAGCATTGGAAGAAATTGCTTCACCTTCAAGGCAACAGACTCAAAGTTGATGAATCATGGAATAGCATATAGTACAAGAACAAACAAACAAACAAAAACAATTGTGAGTAAACTGATCAGGAACATGCTAGCCAAACCCAAAGACAACTAAGATTTTAGACAAAACAGGGAATCCCCCACCTACCTAGGCATCATGTCCCAGCTAGGGACAATCATCCTGTGTTAAGACGCACCTGGACATGTGTGAAGTAAGAGCAGCATGAGGTGCCAAGGTAATAGAAAGACAGACTACTGTTCCACACTGCCTAACAGGTTCCAGGCACATGAATCAGAAAAGAAATGAAGGGTCCCTTTATATGTTCCATTAGAATCTTTGTCCTGGTCACCAGAAAGCTGTTACTTGATCAAACATGCTGTTTTATTTCATTATAATGCCTCTGAAGGGGGTAGAGGAGGAGGAGGGTACTTAATCATTGTTATGAGTTTTGGGGACTAGGAAGAAAAGGCACATTTGTTCCAAGAATTTCAAAATACTTCACAAATTAATCTCTACTGAATTATATTCAACATGCAACAATTATATTCAACATGCAACAAACCTTGATGGAAAATACTGAATACTGATACCTCCCTTTTGGGGAATTCCCCCAGAGCAACATAGCATGCAGTCTTCACTTCTCAAATTCTTTCTTCTTAGGGGCTGGCGTTGTGGCACAGTAAGTTAAACCACTGCCTGCAATGCCAGCATCCCATATAGGCACCTGTTTGAGACCTGCTATTCCAGCTCTGATTCAGTTCCCTGCTATTGTGCCTATGAAACCCCCTGTACCCACATGGGAGATCCAGAAATTCCTGACTCCAGTCTTCAGCCTGGCCCAGCCCTGGCTGTTGCGGCCATTTGGTGAGTGAACCTGCAGAGCTAAGATATTACTTGCTCTCTGTCTCTTCCTCTCTGTATGTAACTCTTTCAAATAAATAAATCTTTGAAAAAAAAATTCTCTCTTCTCAGGCAACTTAAGGGTCACTTTTCATATCTAGATTTTCTCCCCTTCCTCTTTTGTTACAAACATATCTAAAAATAAAAGTTATTTTCTATTTATTTTTATCTATTAAAACCCTTTACCTGTACTTTTAAGCACCTCTTCATTACCCATTGACTACTAGCTCCTTAAATATATATTTTCTAGGCCACAATTATCTTTTCATCTTCAGTGTCCAGAACAATATCAAGCACACAGTGTGTATGCTCAATAAATGGGTAGCAGAAGAATCTTACTAACTCATCATACTATCACATTATACAATTATAAGGAAACTAGGCCTAATCTTTTTTAAATAATTATTTTATTTATTTGAAAGACTGAGTTACAGAGAGAGGTAGAGAAAGAAAGAGGTCTTTTATCCACTGGATCAATCCCAAATGGTCGCAAACAGCCAGAGCTGAGCTGATTCAAAGCCAGGAGCCAGGAGCTTCTTCCAAGCATTTGGGCCATCCTCTGCTACTCTTCCCTGGTGCGTCAGCAGGATCAGAAGTGGAGCAGCCGGGACTTGAACTGGCACCCACATGGGATGCTGGCACTGCAGGCCAGGGCTTTAACCTGCTGTGCCACAGCACTGGCCCCAGGCCTAATCTTATGCTTCCACATGACATGAATGTTTCTTCTGCAGCACCCCATCTAGCATCCAACACATACTTCAATATTTTTTATTTTTTATTTATTTATCTGACAGAGTTAGACAGTGAAAGAGAGAGAGAGAGAAAGGTCTTCCTTCCGTTGGTTCACCCCCCAAATGGCCAGTACGGCCAGCACTGCACCGATCTGAAGCCAGGAGCCAGGTGCTTCCTCCTGGTCTCCCATGCGGGCGTAGGAGCCCAAGCACTTGGGCCATCCTCCACTGCCTTCCCAGGCCACAGCAGAGAGCTGGACTGGAAGAGGAGCAACCAGGACTAGAACCTGGTGCCCATATAGGATGCCAGCGCCACAGGCGGAGGATTGACCAAGTGAGCCTCGGCGCTGGACCCATACTTGAATATTATCAGTGACCAGGAACTGACTACCTCAAAGAAAAACTATCCTATCACCAGGGCAGTTTTAAACAACTGAAGGATCACTCATTCATTTTAAAAGCTTTATTTATTTTTATTTATAAGAGAAAGCATGCTTCTATCTGCTGGTTCACTTGCCAAATGCTCACAAGAGCTGGAGCTGTGCCAGGACAAAGCCAAGAGCCCACAACTCCATCTGGGTCTCCCTTGTGAGTTGGAAGGGGTCCAACAACTTAAGTTATCATCTGCTGCCTTCCAGGGTGCACATACAGGCTGCTGGAATCAGAAGCAAAGCAGGGACTCCAACTTGGCACTCTAATATGGGATGTGGGCATCCTAAGGAATGACTTAACTTCTGTACCACAATACTTTTTCATCCTTCATTATTCAACAAAACTGAATATTGATTATATGCCAAACACTAAATTTAATGGCACAAAAATGAACCAAATATAATCCTTAAAATAGATTAAATATAATTTAATATAAAGAAACAGAGATAAAATAAATAAGTGGAATAAAGCACTGTTACACGTCCTATTAAGGAATATATACTGGGTACATTAAGGGGTATGAGAAGGTCTTGAGCTTGAGATTAAAGCTAAAGCTGCCTTCTTAGAAATTAGCACCACAGCCCCAGTTTCTCAATACCACTTATTTCAATATTCAAAGATAATACCCATGGTTAAGAGCATGGACTCTGAAATCAGAATGAAATCAGCTTTGGCTCTACTTCTTATTAGATATGTGACATTGAAGGAGTTATTTAACCTTTTTGTGCCTTCATTTTTCTCATCTGAAAACAGGGTTAATATTACCTAATTGAGGGAATGAAGATTAACTAACCTTTTAAAAACATTTTAACTAACATTTTAAAAACATTTGGAATAATGCCTGGCACATAGTGTTTGCAGTTGTTATTATTATTTAGCACCACCACCACCACCATCATCATCAAACATTCCTCATATATATGTTCTCACTATTCTATCTGGCACTCTGAACACATTCTCTTATCTTTTTAAAAAACCTTGTACCTAGGAAGGACTAAATATTAGCATGGGACACCGGGCTCCAAATGAGTTCTAATCAGCAAACAGCAGTATCTTTTTTCACCTTTCCCATTTGATACGACATCAAAAGGATATGGTACCCAAGACACTTGCAAGTTCATAATTTTTTAAAAAGATTTTATTTATTTGAAAGGCAGGCTGGCACTGTGGTTCAATAGGCTAATCCTCCGCCTGTGGCGCCGGCACCCCGGGTTCTAGTCCTGGTTGCCCCACTTCCAGTCCAGCTCTCTGCTGTGGCCTGGGAAGGCAGTGGAGGATGACCCAAGTGCTTGGGTTCCTACGCCCTGCACCTGCATGGGAGACCAGAAGTACCTGGCTCCTGGCTTCGGATCGGTGCGCTGGCCGCAGCATGCCAACTGCAGCAGCCACTGGAGGGTGAGCCAACGGTAAAGGAAGACCTTTCTCTCTGTCTCTCTCTCTCACTGTCCACTCTGCCTATCCAAAAAAAAAAAAAAAAAATCAAGGCAGAGTTACAGAGAGGCAGAGGCGGAAGCAGAGGCAGAGAGAGATATCTTCCATCTGCTGGCTTACTCTCTAAATGCCACAACGGCCAGAGCCAGGAGCTTCTTCCCGGTATCCCACATGGGTGCATGGGCCCAAGGACTTGGGCCATCTTCCACTGCTTTCCCAGGTCATAGCAGAGAATTGGATCGGAAGAGGAGCAGCTGGGACTCGAACCGGCCCATATGGGATGCTGGCACTGCAGGCGGCAGCTTTACCCGCTACACCACAGTGCTGGCCCCCATACATTCTTTTTCATTACTTCCTGTTCTTACCTCCATTATCATGAAATAACCTGCCTCCAATAAGCAAAGTTGCTCTTTCTACACATAACCATGTGCATTGTCATGGAATTAATTCTAAAGCCCACTTTTGTAGTATGGAGAAGGAAAGTCCGGCCTGTGGAAGTAGGGTGAAAGAGGGAACAAAAGCTGGAAAGGATTAAAAGGGGAAGGTGTCAAAGAGCAGCAGGAAAGCATGCACACATCAGGCAGAAAAAAACTGATCTACACATGGAGACTGGGAAGAGATCAGGGACAATGGGTCCTGCCTGGGGAGCCTGGGAATTCCTTCAGAA